ACCTATACAACTTTGTTAAGTTTATCTACACATTAACCCACTATCCCTACTTTAAAAATAAATGACATTGTACCTATTCGGACTTACTTCTAAGCATATATGGCTAGAATCAGACTGCTTGACAGATTTAAGCATCTGGCTGCACGTAATGCATTACTAACAGGTGTTCCACTAAAGTTGTTGCCTTGTGAGACTTGCACACTTGCCATATATCTATAAAGCCACAGGTTTACTTGTAAAGATACATCCACTACAATAATCTTGTAGGAGGAGATTTTTTCCAACAAGAATATTATTTGCTTTGGTAGCACTTATTACAACTGCAAAATTAGCTCTTCCACATATTTTCACTCACTACCGCAATTATCTGAGTTTGTTCAAAGCTTTTATGATTACGGCAGAAAGACAAAATACATGTTTAATTGCAAGAAATGTCATTACTAATTTTTCTTCCCACCCAAAACTAAGTAAAAATTGAGCAAAGAGTAGGAGTGGTTCACTTGGCAAGTATTAACAAGTGACAAAAAATATGAATGCATTAAAATTGGTTTCAAGAGAAGGCCAGGTCAGGCATTCTGAAATTGGTCAACTAATCTTCAGTAGCTGAGTATTTCTACAAACTATATGTAACATCTCCCTCTGGTGGATGGACCACACAGAATGGTGCTACATGATGGCTTCAGAGTGACATTTCCCTCCCACAATCTGTTCTTAGCAGCCAAGCGTCTTCCGGTCTTTTCCCTTCATCTATAATACTTCACAGATGCTAGATCATGACCTGGGAGGGCACAGTTGGGTTTAAATAATACTTCCCAACCTGTCACCTCTCAGTTTATATTAAAGGATAAGAGTAAGCTATAGAGAGTAGAAAGGAGCATAAAACTTCCAGTTAGTAGTCTATTCATACATTGCTATTGGAAGCTGAATGGACCCTGACCCAAGTTAGACTGTTGTATCAAAACCTACTTATTCATTTGAAATGGAGCCCAGGGAGTCTGCCCTTGGAAGCAAGTGCATCATATGGACAGTCACATGGGAGGGACACGTATAGGCTACTACAAATCTTCTGTGGTTTGCAAGTATCCAAGTCAAGTTATCTGAACTCCACGAAAGCTTGCCCATTCTTTTAAGTCTAACAGTTTTTAAGTTAATGTTCAAATTTTAAATACTGTATATTTAAAAGGAGTATTTTTCATAAGCATGTATTTATTTAGCTATACTCCCACAATAATAGAGAAATACTCAAGCGCATAACATCACAATTTGAGCATTTAAAAAGTTCTGGGCAAAAATGCCTATCAGATGCATGTGTATAAGGGAAAAAAACCAAAATTAGATGGTGGATTCTGTTAGAGAAAATATTTTCAGTACTGCCCTACTACTGAACAAGATGGACAAACTTCTCTGTGCAATCTTTTAGTTTCTAACAAATTGAATTCTAGCAAATAGTTCATAGTGCACTAGTAAAGAAAAATATGCTGACAAATTAAGATGTGTAGCAATGATTCAATTCTCACAGAAATCACAGATTTTCTGTAAGCATGCTACATTCATAGTTTTTCTATGCTTTCTGTGTTTTTTCTAGTTATGCAAATCCATGTAAGAACTGGGATGAAAGAATTATCAATGTACTGCACAACCTATGCATATCTATTTAAAAGTAAGCTTCAGGGCATACTAGATTTGGGAATTCATTCTAAAATAACATTCGCTAGGTGAGAGTGCTGAAGCTCAAGCCCAAGAGTAAATCCAGCCTGCCTACAGACCCAATTCAACCCTCTGGTGTTACTTAGTTGTCCATGATCCCTGTCCTTGGCTCCACCTCTTTTCCCCAACCATCAATCCTTTGGGGGTCTCTGAGCCTTTGCGCATTCTTCCCTCACTCTAAAAGGTTGAAATGCCTCTGAAATGTAGTTATGTTACAGTTCTATCCAGCCTTTACTAGTTACTAGCAGCTAAAACATTATGGTCTTTTTGGTACTTAGGTTCTATCCACTATTTAACTGTATCTCAAGAGCTTCTCCAAAACTGAATTCTGCCTTTGGGCTTAGATAGGCTTGATTCCCCTGCTCCTACAATAAGATAAAAAAGATACTCCCCTCAAGATTAGGGGCAGTTTCCCTCTTGATGCTCTCCTCCTACTCTGCATAACTTCAATGTCCTCCCCAGGTTCCCATTTCAGTCTGCTAATACGCATTCTGCCTTCTAGTAAAGCCTCATTTAAAACAACATACTTCTTCTGGATAAAGTTCAGACTCTAAACCTACCTCTTCATAGCAACAAGACACTGCTTTTGCTACACAGAAAACTGTCACAGCGTTCTATGTTCAAACAAGGGAAGCCAGACTATTCTAGTTCCTAATTCCAACTCCTAGAAAGCACATCCCATCAATAGTATTCAAATTCCAACACATCTCCCACTTTGCAACAACTCAAAATAACAAAGTTTAAGTTTCAACAACCATATTTTTGTGCAATCACTATTAAAAGGATTTAAAACAGCAGCCTCTGGGATCATCACCTACCCCATCTCTAGTCTAAAGGAACCTAAACCTGAATCCCTGCTGGTCCTCATTTGCCACAAGTGCAAACCTGCAGAAGCAAACAAGATAGGGAAGAATAACCGTATGGAATACGTTAAGCTGGACTGAACAGCATTTTATAAATCAATTTGCCTACCTTTTCTTAAATCATCAGCCCACAGAAACCAGAGGGCAGCAATAACCTCAAAACCATTCTTCACCTTCCTAAGTTCCTTGGCTTGGGCCCAAACTAGAGCCATGTCACCTTACTGCAGAATGGATCTTTAATTCTCAGTTCCACTGAACCGGTAGGATTTCCCTCCTTTCCCCAGTATTATGATCAGAGCTACCAATCACACAATAAAAACACAATTTACCCTTACTTTGACCTCAGGGTGCTTGCATCAGAGATTTCGAGCCTGTATTCCCTCCCCTCCATCTACCCTACCAAGACCACCATGCCTGTTACTCCCCCTCACCTCCAGCCTCCATCTTGCTAGTCTGGAATGTGGCTCCTCTGTACTTGGCCTACGGCTCCCCAGAAGGCTCAATCCAAGCAACTGCTTGTCAATACTCTAGGAGACCCATTCCAAGGGGCAAAGGGAAAAGAGCACCCCACTGAGGACCTCTAAATAAGTGCTCTCAGAAACGGGACAAAGACCCAAACCATGCTGGGATCAGGTTTATCTGTCTCTGCCACATATTTTTAAGAAATCTAAGCGGACACTTCACAGGCTGATTGGCTTGCAGTGGTATCCTGCAGATGGGAAGGGTGTGGTCTCATTACATATGTGTATATTTCATGCAGCTAACAGGCTTTTCTGTTTGAATGAGGAAAAGAGGATGCATTTCTTACTTGATGGTAAATTGGCACTAATCATTAGGAGTGTCGTTTTCCAACTGTGACTGGTTCATCAGGTATATCACTTTCTGTAAATCAAGGTTTGGCCACCCAAACTCCACTGCAATGAGCTGAGTCTCCCATTATAGAGAACTTTGAAATGTCAAGAGGCCTGAGAACCAGTGTGGTATAATGGTCAGATTGCAGGGTGAGAAAAATCCAGGTTCAAATCCCCATACTGTCATGAAGTGCACTGACTAACCTTGGACCTCTCCCCCCCCTCCCTCCCTCCCTCTCTCTCTCTCACACACACACACACACACACACACAACCTTCCTCAGGAGCTGAGAAGATTGTAAGGGGGGGGCATGTTGTTCATTGTACCGAGCTCCTCAGAAAAGGCATTATATAAATATGATAAAGATAATATATTATCTCTTTGCTGAAGTATTTGTACTGCTTATGTTTGCTACTGAGCCCAAATCATTTTTAATCTGTAAAGTCCTAATCATGTTCCCAAATTAACTGAAGTCCTCTATGTTCCCCCAGGTACTTTGGCTTCATCTGGGGAGACATGCTTAAAATCCCTGTGTTGCCATATTAGGATTAGAGGAACCAGATCAGAGTCTCCTGAGATAAGCGAGTCTCTCCTTCAAATGTGTTCCTAAAGGAAACACATTTGGTGGCTTCTTTCTTGAGATTTTGAAAGCAGTATGTTTAAAGTTTTCATTTTTAGGAGAAAGTTTGGTTAACTAGCATGTTCAATGGTTATATTCCCTGTTTATATATTTTGTGAAGATTTTTTGCTAGACAAATACAAGCAAAATACCTAAACAAAAAAAAAAAAAAGCACATTGCATTTCTAGCAAAAGCACACCTCTTTCCCAACCCTCCATGTTCAAGAAGTTCATTAAGAAAGAATAAAAATCAAATTTATGTCATGTCACAATAAGGCCCTAGCCCATACACTTCATGTAATGATCAATGAAATTATTCCAACAACTTGTCATTTCCATTGTTTTAACAGCTGTACAATATTTTTTTTAAAAAATCCCAGCACAATTAGTAGCGGTGTGGTTCACACACAGTTCTGTACTCAATTAGCAGTTGGGCCAATGGAAGGTAAAAGTCCTAGCTTTGTTCTCCTGAACAGAACTGCCAGAAAACCGTCCGCAGCTAAGGCTGTAGGTGCATAATGGCTGAAGGGAATGCTTGGCCAAGTCTGCACACGCCCTGGCCAGTTCTACAGCACATTCATTGCCTTCCTGCTCTGCCTACTGGTACAGAACACACTACCAGTGAAAAAGAGGGGGTGGTCACTCTACGGGCCCTGTCCAAAATGGATCTTCATTCAAACAGCTTGTGTCTTATTTAAACATAAGGGTAGGGAATGAGATGCCTCTTGTTGCTCCGGACACTATTCTGCCAAACTTGTTTGTGATTTAGTGGTGCCCCCTACAGTCTCAAATCTAAAGCAAGCTCCTGGTCAACCTATCCCGCAAAGTAAGCAGGGTAGCTTGTGCCAGAAATGAGTATCAAAATCAGAGGTGTCATACTAATAAGTGGGAGGGCTAAATTAGCTCAAAGCAGTCACTCGGGATCTACCCCCGCAACATTTCAAATCAATTCCTCCTCAGATTGTCAATTCTACGTAGACCACACACTAAAAGGGGGACTGGAAAAATAGAAATTGTCCCTGCAGCTTGGGTAAGTTTTCCACTTTCATGAATTTGTAAGTATTCCTAGACAGTATCACCTATTTTCCTTGTGGTTTGTGGCTTCTGTAGGTTGCAAGCATTGCTTGCTTCGCAAACCACCTCATCCATCAGCCACTTATCAAAAAAGTTGGAAGTTCATTCATGGCTGCTATAAGGAATATAGCAGCAGTGGCAGCTATTGGTTGCTTTAGTCCTGTGAAGGTAGGAAGTAAACAAACTTCAAATCTGATCTGATAATTTGAGTAAAATATGGTAGAGGTGATGAAAGCTGTTTTGTGAAACCCTCGCAGAATGTTGGGTATGGCCCTCATGCCTTGTGCTTACTCTATCTTGCCAGATGAAGAGAGATCTCAAATGCTCACACCTTTTAATGATCTTTCACTTGCCTTGATAAAGGTATTACACTACATGGATTTCTGAATTCTCCTTGCTTAAACTGGTATTGAGTGTTAAACTTAGGCAGAAGTTGCCAGGGTCTATTTACCAGAAACATACTGACAGAGGCACGAAGAGAATGCTCACTGGACATAAGCGCTGCAAAAACTCTTGATAAAGTAGACAAGCCAGAAATGTAACCTCATAGCCTTTATCTTGCTGAAAGTTGGGTTTTTAAATGTTCACAGCTCCAAAATCAGCAAAGGGAAGGGGGTGAAAGCAACCCAGAAGGCAATTCCAGGAATGTCCATGTTTCTTTTTCAGAAGAATGTAAGCAAACTTTCAAAAATGATTCACAATACCTGCAGCAACCATCAGGGACAATTCAGATGAGAGCTAGTTGTTATTCCTATAAACACATGCTTTAGAAATTATGGAGCTTTGGTAGGAATTCCCATTGCACCAAGGTGAGACAGCAAAATGGATCCATACATGGGTAAGGGAGAAAAGAGCCATCTTGGGAGCTGATGGGAAGCCCAAGCATGGAAGACTCCAGTATATAAATGCTAAGTTTTAATAGTAGCGAGTATTCACACACTGAAAGGAGGGAAAATATAGTGTAACTACAGCCCTGGATTCTAGAAAGAACTACACTTAGGGTTGCTAAATAGTCATACCCAAATGTATTAATGCTGCACGTTGCTTTGATACACTTTAGTCATCTTCAGCAAATACAACAGGGGGTGTTTTTTACACTGATCAATTATTTCTTACAGGTTGGTCAAGGATATAATTTGAATGCAGATAGAAGGACTGTGGTTATTTGGCTAGTCGAAAACAAAATGATGGTATAAAGCAACACCCTGTAATTCTAAACCCAAGGACATTACTGATAATGGACTGAAAGGCATACATGAAGTAGACATGCTTGAAAGCTACATTCACATACACTGTGTGTGTGCCAGGCAGGGAACTGCATTAGCTGTGACTCCCATCTGGTTTCTTTCACTTGCTTGTCTACATTTTCTGAAAGAACACTGTACTCAAAAGCTCATCCTACTCTCAATATCTTCTCCAATTCCAGGGAATCCCTTTCGCTGCTTGCTAAAATTACTTCCTGCTGTGGATTTGTTTTGTTGATTTATTCTCACAGTGTGCTTTATTGTCAGTTTAGCAGTTGTTAACTGCCTTGGGTGGACCTTTATATAGTCTTTTTTGGCCTTCAATTTTATTGGCAAGTGCCACAAAAATGGCATATTCTAAAACTTCACCTTTTCACAGGACTCAGTAGGTTCTCCTTCTTCACCCAGATGGAAACATCGCTAGAAGCAAAAGGTACATTCATAATTATAGTAGCATTGACAGGGTTGCCACTGGTACTTCTGTGCTTTCTAGTCAAGTTGTGAGTTTGTCAGCAAGTTGTACCACTTCCTCAAAAATCAGATTCACAGCAAAGTCAGATAACCCAACTCCATTGTCAACCCAGCAAGATTCTAAAATTAGAGCTGTCATCCAGGAGTTACGTCCTTCTGTATATTTAAATGGCTTTAAAAATTGGGCTTCTCAAACATAAAGGAACCTTGTTGTAAATATAATTATCGCAGGGTACATGGCATTGGATAGAGTGAAACATAAAAAAAGACCCAGCTCAAGGAACTTATTCAGACCTGTCTGGAAGGCAGATATAACAGAAAAGATGGAGGAATTTAGAATCCTTACCTTTAAACTTTCACATACAGCACGGCTACTTGCAAAGTCAATTTGGGTGGCAGTAAAATGTGACTTGACCACTTGGAAATGAAGGATAACAGTGGCTACTAGGCCTGATTGGCATATGCTACCTCCAAGTACCTGAGTCATATGCTCAGGTACTGCCTATGGGACCCTATGAGCAGCTGTTTGGCCACTGTGTGAACAGAATGCTGGATTAGATGGATCCTTGGTCTGATCCAGCATTGCTCTTTTTATGTTCTATATCTGGTTCATTTAGTGGCTCTTAGAGCTGGGAGAAACCTAGACAAATTGATTACTAAATACAGAGTCTGGTACAATAAGAAACATCAGCTTTTATTTTTAAAAACAGATTACTAGCCCCCAAGATCACAAAGACAACTCTGATACCTTTGGCAGCAATGCCAAAGTCCCAGTCTCAGAAGGCTGATAGATGCAGTATATGGAGAAAGGAGTGAGGATTCAGAACCATGCATAGATTTTCATAGAAGAGTCATAGAAGAACCAAGTACATCAAATAAACAAAAATTAAATTTGTACAATCTATAAAAGCTGCAGCATTCAACTGTTTTTTGACAGAGAAGGTGAGTTATTGTTGTGCAAGATCTGAAAAAAAGATATCCCATACCTTACCCTGCTCCTCCTCCAATCAAAAGCTCAGCAACAATATTTGCTTAACACATTTACTATTACCTGTATTATTGAATCCAAAATATATGCCCTTGCATTTAAATGGATTAAAATGCATTTGAAAGAGTTCGGTTTTCTCTGTGCAGCCCATATCACTACTGTGTGACAGTCACAACTTTATCAGCTACAGTATATTTTCATTGACAAAAATGGTTAATGGCAAGCAGTAGTTGAGAACCAGAGTAGCTTAAGGAACACCTGCTACTGCAATTATCTTGCGTGCTGCTCTCTACATGTAAAGCCATTCTCTAGGCAACTTCCCCCATCCCACCTATCTAATTAAAGTTAAGTGGGGAGTGGGACCTTTTCAATCACGGTACCAACAATATGGAATGCCAACTTTAGGGCGATCTGCCAGGACTTCAGATACCACATTAAAACCTGGCTGTTCAAGATGATCTTTGGGATCAGTTGATTTGCTTGCTCCTGATCTCTGAATCCGAGCTCCTGCTATCATGTAATACATTATAGTTGGCTATCAACTACTCTTTCATTTTATCATTCTGATTTGTTTTTTATATTTTAAAAGCAGGGTATGTTTTTAAAATAATGAAAGTAAGTCTCAAGCCAAAAACATGTCCCTACATTACCTCAGTAAAAATCACATTTTACTGCTATTTCCATTTTGCATGTTTCCTGAACCTTTTCTAGACTATAACGTCCAGCATTCCTGACCATTGGCCATGCTGGCTGGGACTGATAGGAGCTGGAAATCCAGCACACCTGTACAGTCTGATCTAAACTATTAAAATCAAACCTTTGCAAAATTAGTTTGTATTGTATTATTCATTTTAAGTAAGCAAATACAGAGCTGTAATGGACCTCTGGGCAAGGTATAGGGCCCACAAGAACAGAGGGAAGCAACCTGGTGGCCTCAAGATGTTGCCAGCACCACACCCATAATACCTGACAACTCAAAATCCTGGGTGGGGTTGCTGTGAGCTGTAGTTCAAAACGTCTGAAGAGCATCAGGAAACTTATCCTTGTATTAGGTCATATTAATTTTATTTGGCCAGGGCGGCTTGTTTTATAGTGTATGTTTTATATTATATATTTGTATTTTATTGTATATATTTTAAAATGTTATTTTAATTTTTTTGTTGTAAGCCGCCCCGAGGCTTCGGCGAATGGGGCGGCATAAAAATGTTTTAATAAATAAATAAATAAAAATATTAATGATGTCAGCAAATATCTATCCAGTTTCTAATGAAAGAGATTAACAATAATTTTATCAGATTAATTTAGCTGAATTGATAAAAAGTCTATGTACGTAACAAGATGTATATGTACATAACCTTCTGAGTTCATCACAAATGCACAATTTTCCTGACTAATTTATTTTGCAGGAGTCCACGATTGACATTTTACGCAGAACAATCTAACATCTGAACCACATCTACCAGTGACCCATTTAATAAAAGTAATTCTGAAGTAAGTTTCGTTTATGTGCTTAAAAACATACTGTACCTATTGCCTTAAAGCTGTGCTCAATTTAAATGACACAATGTTTTGTGTTCCTTCAAATTCTGCCAAAAATCATGGGGGAGAAAAGTAATGGGAAGAAAAAGGATCAGCATGGATCATTTGTGGATCAGATGGCATATCTCTAAGGAAGTTCTGTGTAACAGCAACAGAAACACAGGTCTAATTAACATTACTTCCTCTACTCATCACGCTTAGATTTGCTGACAACAACAAAAGGGATCAGACTGGACATACAATCTGTAAAGCAGCCTAATTTCTTTTGCTGTACACATAGCAGGAAAGCTACAGAGGCACAGATGCAAGCATTACCTTACAGATCCAGAATGGAGGCCCTTCAAACAGAATTTAATTCTCTTGGGTACTTATTCAATCTATACTATTTGCTCCCATTTACTGTAGAAAATACATTTCCTTAGATACCATTGGCTGTGCTTGCTAAGGAAGAATTATAATCCAATACATCTAGAGAGCACCATGTCGGGAACAGCTGGGATGGGGCAACCAAGCCCTGTACAATTGGCTCCTGAATCTCTGTATTTTCATACCACATTTCCCTGTTATCTCTCACATACCAGTGCCTCCCCTCACCAGAAAGTACCACACTGCACAAAAATTAATCAGATTCAGGATCGAACATAAGCACAACCATGCTTATGCAAGACAAGCACAACTGCAAAGTTTTGATTTAAACAATTTATTTTAAATACAGAATTTGAGTTACCTCATCTTGGAAATAGCTGTCTTGTTTTGAGGTTAATGAAAGCAGCATGGATCAGGCACATGATATTCAATGTAATTAATGAAGTACTGAGTAGAAGAATACATGCATTAAATATGTGGGCATTACAATACTGGTGTAGTAGGTAACACAAGTCACTAAAGAAGCAGCGATAGAAGGAGAGCAACTAGTACACTTAGTTCACGCCATGTCTACTTCTCTTTATACAGGGAGCATAACCATCAACTATTGGCTAATTCTGCCATATAGCAGAGGTGTTAAACATCTTTTATTCTCAATTTCAGAGAAGCTAGGGGTACACATTTTGGAGGAAGGAAGGGAAAAGGGGGAGGAGCCAGCATATTTTAGCTTAAAGGTATCCAACCCTTTTGAACCCATGGACACATTTGGGAATCTGAGAAACAACTGTAGACAACACTACAAAATGCTTAATTTGGTTTTTCTTTTATATCTACTTATTACATCTATGGATCTTAGGATGAGTCTTACTCAGAGAAAACTTTTGTTTCATGTCTCCTGAGCACCACAATGTCTCTTTAATAAGGGATTGTCAGGTAGGTACTGGCTGTGCAATAAAGTAAGTACATCTTTTAAACATACATTTGGGCAATATTCAAGAACTGTTTCTTTTTGTGAGGAGGTACAGATATATGCTTTGTACTGGAACAGCATTTAATATCCATTCATATACATTCTCTTGTGAATTATTTATCTGCTTCATGGGAATGGAAAGTTATTTTCTGCACCCTTTATACAGTTAAAGACAAATGTGGATTCACTTCCTATTATGTATTGGATTGAGGACCTTATAACAATTCGATTTAAGAGTAGCTAGCATATAGACACAGCTTCAAATGGATACTTATCTGGATATTTGTTCTGCTTTTGTTGAAGCCTACGTATAATTGCTAGAAAGCTGCATGCTTTTATACAAATCCATGTACTTACATTAAAAAGGGACATAAATGTAGGGGACTATTGGAACCACAGGGAACCCCTTCAAGGATACCACTGGTTGACCCCATTGGCATTGCTTTGAGGACCCCTGGCTTATAGCTCTTACAGCCAGTAATTAAGCCCTTAGGAGACACATTTCAACCTTTCAGAACAGGGGAACACTGCACAAAACCTGGAAACCATCAAACAATCAGTGACTAAGGGGAACAGGGCGACTCCAGCGGAGGGGGTTCTTTGGGAAACCATGGGGGTGCAGGCCTGAGAATCTCAAAACCCCCACTGTATAAACATTTATTTGGAAAAATGATTGCCTCTGCCAGAGTGGCACCCATAGGATACTATTCTCAGAGTAAAACATGCTAGGGAAAAATATTTAATCATCATCAAAAAATATGTTAAGGATTTTGGGAAGACATGCTGAAGCAAAGACCAAGACAATGTACACCAGAAGCAGAGGGCACAGACATCACTCATGTTGTTTCCCTTATCTAGGAGATGAGATCCTGCAGTTTCTATATACATTCAAACAAGGGGCTATGCACCACCCACTGGCCCAATTGTCTTGCTCTGGGGAACCATTAAGTTGTAATAAGCAATTCTATGTTTAAAGTGTAATGCTAACACTTAGGAGATTTGGTTTGAACTTTCTGTTATACTGTAGGCTTTTTGATCCAATATGTATTAATTATTTCTCATTACTGCTGTGTATCTTTATTTCTTTCTCTCTTTAAAATGGGTATCCTAGCCCAAGTCCAGTTTCAAAGATGTAGAAGGGTATCAGTTGCACTAGTACCAAAGAATCATCTAGGGTGCTTCCAGAAAGATGGCTCCCACTCCTATCAAAAGAATTATGTGGGGGAGACAATTTTTTCTCCTAAATGTTTCCCCTGCTTCCCTGGTAAGAAAAAAGACTGCTAGATCAGTGGGAAAATGCAGGTAGATTACAAACAGATCACAATGTCATATGGACCGCACAAAAAAAATCTATCATTGAGGCTGTTGACTGTACAATAAACCTCATCTGGAAGCATCTCTACTGCAGAAAGAAAGCCATGGTTTGCATGCCCACTGCTTGGATGCTGGACAAAAAGCAAAGCTCAGGCTAACTAAAACCCTACCTTCCACAAGTTCCCAGGAAGACAGATTAAAAAACCAAAATGGAGACAAACAAGAAAGTAGGTAGGTTTTAAATAGTTCTCCAGAAGTCTCATTCCAGCATCAGTCATTTGTCTGTCCTGCAAGGCTGCTGACGGCTACACGATCCCACCTTCCACTTCCAGCAAGGCATTCCAAGCAGAAGTCTCTGCCTTCCATCTAGGTAAGCTACATATAGACACTCTCCTTTCTTGCTAGTATATCCATCTGAGGCCACACTCCTGCCTGCCTGACCGTTCGCAGTTTCAGTCTGCAGCTTCACTGGGGAGTGGGGTGTGGGAGATACATCCATCTTTCTCTCCTGAATTAAGCAGCCTTCATTTGTGTTTTAACAGGGTCAGATGTCTACCTGTCATGCCTGCCTAAAAGCAATAGCAAAAAGTATTAGCATCAGTGCATATACTCTTTAGCAGACACAGTAAGCTATACAAACTCAGATAAGAGAAACTATGCTACTTTTTATATTTACATCTGTTTGGCATATTATTGCAAGACTGTTAGCATACCATATATAGACAAAATAAAAACTGCTGGCAAGCTTTAAATGCACTGGCATGACTACAGCAAATAGACAGGCTGTACCAGAGGCAAAAAACCAAAAAATATTAAGGACTATACAGAGAATCACACATAGGTTCTCTCATGTCACCACTCCCCTCACCCATGAATAAAGACACACGTGGACCCATCAGACAAAGCGTTAAAGGAAATGCTCTAGATAAGGGAAGGAAATGCTGACAGGAGAATGACTTGTGTTCAGAAGCTTAGGAGAGCGACTCCATGTGGAAAGCTGTGCCTGCGGGTTCCCAGACGACTGGGGGGGGGGGAGCATATAAAAACACAAGAGGCCTGCCAGATCTACCAAAAGATCCACTATTATTCTAATAGCCAACCAGATGCCTCTCCGTTGCCCACTAGGCGGGCGCGAAGGTAAAGGCCGCTCCCCTGGAAAGCCCAAGTTTATGGGATAGCGTGCTCGGGTAAAGGGTCTGGCTAAGAGTGCCAGAAGCAGCCGGCGCAGACACACGGCGGCAAGGCTAAGGCCACACACATTTCAGTGCCCTGCCTGCGGCTCGCCAAGCAGACCTTGTGCAGGCAAGGCTCCCGCAGTGCTCCACGCTGCCGCCCCACTCCCGGGACCGGCTCGCCCGGGACCCTGGCGGTTGCGCAGCCCCTGCGCCCCGGGCCCGAGTCCCGCCACCCCACTTCCTGCTTCGCGGGCGTCCCGGAGGCCGGCTTTTCCCCGACAGCGAAGGCACTCTGGCCCGCGCTTCCCCAGCCGCTCCCACCGCTTCCCACAGCCGGCTTTCGCCTCTCCCTGGCCGGCACTCACCACTCTCAATCTCGCCGCCCTTCTTGGCCGTGGCCGCGTTGCCCATGGCCAGGCGGGGCCGGGCTTGGGCTTGGGCTGGGCCCGCGGGGAGGGGGCGCTCTCCCCGCTCGGTCGGTCCAGGCGGCAGGAGGCTCCGGCTGGGCCCAGCCAGGCCCAATCCCCCCCTCCCCTGCCAGACCCGGTGTCGCCTCCGCCCCCTTTCCCCTGGCGGCAGTAGCTGCAGTGGCACCGCCCCAACCTCGCATGCTATTGGATACCAAGGCGGCTCTCGCTCGTTCACTGGTCTCAGCAGCGCAGCATGGGTCATTATTGGCCCCCGGGTCGTGACGAGTCCTTGGTAGGCGCCCGCCTACTTCTTGCGCAAAAGTGTTGAGTAGAAGCCGTACGTCTCTACCGGCTTCTGCGATTGGCTAACAAGAGATTGAGCGCTCTACCCACTTTGGGGCGGAGCCGCTTGACGGCTGGGCCTGGAGTTGAGGGCTCGGAGGGCTATATTTAGACTGCCGAGATTGTCCGTATTCCAAAGAATGCCCATTGTAAGGGTGGAGCTCGGGGTGGGGCGAAATGTATCTCCGGCAGAAGCGGACGGGGCGGAGCGTACAAGCAAAACCAAACCAACCCTAATCTCGAACCTTGGCGGTCTCCAGACAATCAAATCGTGAGGGTTGCGGTGATTTCAGTAGGGATTTGGATTAGCTGCAAACCATGGATTCCATTGTGTTGCAGACGCAGGCTT